TGGGGGGGGGGGGGGGTCGGCGTCGACCGACCAGCTGGCTCATTAACGCTGAGCAGAGGTCATGCACGTATGCATACCCTCTACTGCTGTATCTTTGTCCATCGCCACGGACCACACCTCTGTCGGGTCGTGTTCCCTTTATATCTTCGATGTGCTGCAGTGAAAAGTATACTGCTGTAAAATACTTCAATAAAGCAGTACCAGGTCACAACCTCTAGCAGGTGTTTGCGGTACAGAATATATCGCGCGGAATATTTTTGAGTCGCGTCTCAGGCGTGTAAATCCTTACGCGAGATGCCCTTTGTTTCCTCAACCATGTCTCCTTGCTCTCGGGAAAATTACACTGCGTTTATTGCGCTACACAAGTGCAAGGAGTTTTGCGTTGAGGAGCAGTAACATTGACCCGTCAAAGAGAGTGCTCCAGAGCAAACGTTGTGCTGCTACACATGGATGTGAGGGGAAAAGACGCACAAAGTCCTGGGTGCTCTGTTGGAATAGTCGCGGCTTTAGTCCGCGCCTCTATGTACCGCTGCTGTTGTGCGGGTGGTGACAATGATTTCCACTCAGCAGTCGAAGGGAAAAAGCGTGAAGAAGTGAGAGAGACTATGTAACGACGTCGTCTGAGGGGGAAGAGAACGAGTGCCGTTCCGCCCGAAAAAATGATTTTGTCACCAATCGGTCGGCCGTGTGCGTTCGACTGACAACGTTCAGCACAGGGCTAGAGGTGGTGTCTTGCACACCGCCTACGTCGACGGTTGTCCCGCAACACGGTGGCGTACAATGTTGTACCACCATCTGCCTCATCGTCTAGTTGATGATGGCGTCTCTCAGCTATTGAAGTGGGCCATATTGTTTGTAGAGAATAGACATGTTGCTCCACCTTGTCGCGATTCGCAAAACGCTCCTCACCTCGCTGTCCATGAAGGACAAGTCTTGTTCATCCATCGTCGAGGAGCGCCCCGCCCTTACGTTGACGCTGTCGCGCGTGGGGGCCCGGAACGTGGGAGGCGGCGGCGGTGGCATCAGCAAGCTCCCGTCTGCCATCATCCGGTGAGCGCTGTCTACAACAAATGTGGAATATGGTGTAGTGGGTTTCGCAGCTCGGCTCATCATCATCAGCGGCTCATCAATCACGGAGACCCTTCCCGCAAACATTGTCAATTCTGCGGGGCTCCGCGCTCCGCGGTGACATCTCCCATCTTGTTCCGGGTCTTGTTGGTCAGTTGTGTCTCGTTGTCACTGCTTCTTCTTCGCAGCCAGTTGCATTTGCCGTCTGCTTCGGCGGTTGGCTCGCCTTGTCGGAAGAAGAAAAGGTGAGTAGGTGAGCAGGGGTCTCGCCGTGCTTTGTCTTCATCACCACCTACTGATTCCGGCGGCATGCATGCACAAAAAAACATGCCGCCCTTTGTTCTGGTACGCACAGCAGTTTCATGCAAAGAAGGCACGCACGTGTGTGAAAGCCATATGCTACAACCGCTGCTGCTACACAGCAGCCACTTTACAGGAAGATCGACCGGGGTAAACAGCCTTGCGTGGCGCGCAATAAGATGCTGCGCTCTCTCCTGTGCATACATAGCCGTTCGACCTTTCTTTCCACCACACCGGCTCTATTATTCTCTCACACATGGTGCATTTTGTTGCGATGCCGCGGGCGATGTTCTGCCCTCATTGTACACACCGAGCGAACCTTGTGCAGCAGCGTTGTTTCTATGGATACATCCCTGCTCTCAGTAGAAATGCAGGCGCCCTTTTGTGTGTGTTTGTCTCTACATGCCAGCATTGTGTGTGACACTCCAATCCGCTCATTTCTCTCTTCTTTTTTTTTCACGCAACATCTTGTCTGCTGTCTTCCGTGAACTAGGATCAAGCTTCTTCCAGCCTGAAGCCTGACAGCTCACTGCTCACACCCGCGTGTGTTCGTCGACACGCTTGCCGCCGTATACTACACCGCTCAGGACAAAGGAGAAGGCCCCAAATGGGACGGACTACTGCTCAATAACTTCACAACGAACCTGTACGTGGTTCTATAATAGAACAAGAGGCGGCGGGACAACAATGATAATCAAGGAACCAGCACGTAGGCGGCGGCCCGGGGATAGCCGCAACGAACGGCAAGGGGAGGCCCCACGCAGACATGAGGGGGAAGGGCGGAGGGGGGAGCGGGTTGCTGGGGAGAGGAAGAAAGGGGCGAAGCTGAGAGGCAAGGAGGTCGGCAGGCAGCGCGCGGCCGAGCAGGTGCTTTCGGCGGCGGCGCGGGGCGAGGACGGGAGGGGAAAGAAGGACAGAACGAGGGAAAGGCGGGGGGGGGAGGAGAGTGAGGAGGAGCGGCAGCGGCAGCGGCGGCGAGGGCAACGGGAGAATCGAAGCAGCAGGAGCTGGACGAGCTGCGACAGAATCGCCCGGGCGGGATCGTCGGCTACTGCCCGACACGGCGGTGAAACGGAGAACGGGACCAAGATTGGAAGCAGGAGTAGCAGCGGCGGCGGCGGCGGCGGCAGCGGCGGCCGCGGACAGAGACGGAGGACGCGGAGTACGCGTCGCGCCAGCACCTCCGTCGACGGCAACAAGCGCGGTTGGGGGTTGCAACCTGCCAGCAACGATGTGATTGGTCCGAAGACGCGCGTTCACCGCAGGGGTCGTGGTCGGAGTAGTGAGGCGAACGAGATATTGCGTGGGGTTCAATGCGGCGGCGGCGGCGGCGGCGGCGGCGGGGTCAGAGACGGTGGGCAGCGTGGTGGCGGTGGTCGTTGGACGGGGTACGGGCCACCCCGTCCGGTGGAAGACGGTGGTAGAGGGCCTTCGTACGGGCGCCGTGGTGGCTCTGCGCCGTCCCCGGAAACGCCGTCGGCCTCCTCTTCGGCCCGAGAAAAACACAGCAGCAGCAGCAGCAGCAGTAGCAACAGCGGCGGCAGCAGTGCTGGAAGCGGAGGAGTTACCGCTGCTGCTGCTGCTGCTGCTGCTGCCGAACGGGCAGGGGCGACCGGGGGCGAACGAACGAGTGCGTCGGAGCGACGAGCCGTCTCACGCGTGGCCCCTTCTCGCTACCCCTCTTCCCGCGCGATGATGTTGCCGGTGTTCGGGTCGCCCGCTCGTCCTGCGGCTCAGCACTTCCGACTGGGGCCCCGAAGTTTTGTGACTGCGGTGCCTCCCGCTGCTGCTATGCAGCAAGGAACCGGGACGTTGTCTTCGTCCGCCGCCTTCCACGGTAGGGGCACCGGCACTCTTTCCTTGGAAACCGCCGTCGCCGCCGCCGCCGCCGCCTCTGCCAGGCACGCCTCCGTGTTCTCTGGTACCGGGAGCCTAGCCGTGTTGTAGCGGTACTACTGTAGGGGTGGCTGGAGGAAAGACGCAGTGTGTTGTTAGCCAAGACGATGCGTCCGCCGTGTCATTTTGTCGTGTGTTTTCGCCCCTTTCTTGATGCTTGCGAGCTTCCGGATGTGGTCGTGGGGATAAGGATGTTCCGCTGTAGCCTCTTGTGAGGCGACTGCGTTGGGCAAGACTTGTGGACTACGTAGCTGTTGGTTGTTTTTCGTGAGTGCAAAGCAGCGTGTGGTGGGTTGGAGACCGTCCCCTTTAGAAGAGTGATGAACGAGAATCTTGGTGGTTTGTCGGAAACAGATGTGTAAAATTATGCTGTCGGCAATCGAGGTTTGCGTGATAGACCGCTGTCGTTTTTTGTTGATCGGTTCCCCTTTTTTGGTTTTGGTTTTTTCGCAGAGGAGGACTCGCAGGATCTTGAAGCGGATGGAGCGCTCTGGATGTTTTTCCATCAGCCGACCCTGCTTGTTTTCTGGGCGATGTACGTGCTGTTTGTGCGGTTTGTACGTGGGTTTCGGGGAGATTTGTGCTTGTTTTCCGTAGAGGGGACGCTAGGGCTGAGGTGAACGAAGAGGAAAACGAAGCCGGCATGGGCGAAGGCTGATGGCATTTCTCTGGATCCGAGCACCGCCACCACCTTTTTCGTGATGATTCGTGCATCAGAAACATTCACAGATTATTGTTGCACGGTATACGCGTGTTCTCTTCGCAACTACTGTAGCGCCTGTACGCACCGGGAAGAAAGTACCGTACGCCTACCGAATTCTCAGCTCCCAACACGCGCCTCTCGCGCGGGTGGGGACGGGCGAACATACAACGGCGAGTCGAGTCGTATGTGCCAACATAAATAGACGAAAATAGATTGCACAATCGCCGCCCTCGGAAACACAAGTTTTCGGTGCATAGAGAAATCGTGAGCGGGGGGGGGTCTGGATGTATGATATTGTTGAGTAAAAAACGTGAAACGGGCACGGAAGGACGCCCAGCAACTTATCCACAAACCCGGTACAAGTAGTGTGAATAAGACAGACCTTCAGAAAGTATGTCGGGCTCCGCCGCGTGCGGTTTGGTCCTGCACGTTGAGTGCCGGGTTGAGACGAAACCCATTGGAGTAGCAGTGTACGGCCGCCCCGGTGCACTTGCCCTCTCGCTGCCACGGGCGCGAGTGCACAGCGTGGGATAAGAGAGGCCAAGGAGGATATAGGACGCCGCAAATCGTTTCTGGCTGCAAGCTCCGCCAAGCACGTGCACTTGCTTTGCCAGCGAGAGAACTCACGATTTTCTCAGCTGCGACAACCTCGAGTAGGGCGTCAACAATCGAAACAAGAAACAGGCTGCTTGGTGCACACCACGCTCAACAACAGGTGTGCGAGTTGAGTTCCATCGTCTCGCCTCGTCAAGTTTTTCGAGAGCTGGCAGCTAGCTGGCTGCCTTGGGGACAAAAAACAACAACTGCCCCTGTCGAATTGGCCGGACGTGTGCACCAACGTACCCGAAACAGATTTCCGAAACGCCTCCTGGATTGATCGTCCACAAAAACGTTAAACACGACTTAGGCTTCTTCAGGGATCGAAAAGAAAACAACAACCCCGCGTAACGACAGCGTGGACTCTCGAGACAGACAAAAAAATACCCCAGGTCCGACCAGCCAAACCGTTCCGTGACCGTCGAGGTTTACTTGGTGGTAACAGCTGCGGGGGAGCGCCAAAAAGCGACGGAATCTCCGGAATCTACCAAAAGCTAGGATCTGTGCAGCACGCGGGCCCAAGGCTTACCTACCCAGGGGAGTACGAAAAAATACAACTCGACGCTCGAAAAAAGAAGCACCCAAAACACCGTGTGTATGTTACCCTATTTCTGCCCCACTCTCTCCACCCACCCAACTAACTACCCCCGCCCCTTTTCCGTTGACACCCCAACCCGGCCCCCCGCCTGACATATTTTCTTCCACGCTACCCGCGGCCGATTAACGCGCTCCGCTACAAAGCAGTCTTGGGCCACTCTGCTGCGACCGCCACAAGGGCGGGGGTGGGTGAGGGGGGTGAGCTCACAGAGATTCACAAACTGCTTTCTTATTGTTCGCACAAGGCAAAAAAAAAAAAATGCTACCAAAACAACAGGTATGCCTAGGCGTTGGGGAACAGGAGGCCGCGGATCTTGGGCAAGAGCTCCGAGTAGATGACGGTCAGTCGAGAGCTCAAGGTGTTGTCGCACACGATGCGTCCGTTCGCGGCCGACACGGCCACGCCGCCGGGGCTGTTGCATCGCGAAGCAAAGAATACAACCAGCAAAGCAAACAGACGGGAGGACGGGGGCGACAGAGCGACGGGAGGGGGTGGGGGTGGGTGAGACGCTTAATTTTCTTGTGGTGTAGGAACAACAGGAACGACGGCGGTGGTGGTGGGAAGAGAATTTGATGCTGGACAGACCGATGTCTAACACACCTGGTACGGGTCAAAAGGACCCAACTTTGACGCGTAGATAATGCTCGTGTCCGTTGGACGATGATTTATTCCTTCAACAAGCAACTGATGACGCGGAACTGACGAGCAGCCTTGCCTCTGTGCACAGACCCCTTCTGGGTTCGCGACTGTTCGAATATGTTTTGCTCGCTGCCACAGCTTCTACGGCTTCAACCTGGCCCACCACAATCGTTCCTATTCTTTCGAGCACAGTCTCAACTGACCCCAGGGATGGGTAATGGATCTACGTAGGCGCAAAGAGGCCTACACAAGAGTGACTCAACACACGCGAGGTAAGCCGTCAGTCAATCTCTTGTGTCCGTTCAGGACGGACGGGCGCCTCCTACAACACCCCTTTCGAACACATTTCTCTCTCTCTCTCTCTCTCTCTCTCTCTCTCTCTCTCTCTCTCTCTCTCTCGTTCTTCCCTCGAAATAACCACCCACATGCACGCTGTCGAGTCTTCACAACAAAAAATCTTAATCTTCTCTTGTCTCACTTCAAACCGTGAGTCTTTCCTTGGTGCTTGGGGGTTTCCTTACCAGTTGGCTGAGAGGCACCTGGCCGGGTCCTCCTCAACGGTAATGGCCGGCACCTTGTCCACACCCGCCTCCGCCTTCATCAACGCCACGTACTCCGACACGGCGTCCTGTCGTGAGGGAAAGCGAACGCACGTTTTGCATGTGCGTGAGTGCGAGGGTAAAAAAATTGGCGGGCGAGGGGGGGGGATGTACTCATAACCGTCCATGCCGTAGTCGTTAGTCCATATACCTCGCGGGGGGGGGGGGGGGGGGGGGGGGTGTACTCATAGTCGTGCATGCCGTAGTCGTTTGACCATTGACCTCGCATCCCTACAAAGCCGGGACGGAGCACGCCGGGTTCTCACCGGACCAGGCTCTCACATCACCAAGCGCGAAGCGCCGTGAGGTATTTGGCGAGTCGCATGAAGGGTGAGCTGCATCCTGCTAAGGGTGTTCGGCATCTTGTGCTTACTTCCTTGCGTACGGATGACAGCTACGTATGACTTAATTTATTTTCTGGTGCTTTCACTTCCAGAGACAGTTGTAAGCACTGTGTAACTGCCTCGAGGAAGCTTGACCATTTTAACACAACGTGGTGCGATCATCCCCCGTTGCGCGGGGGGGGGGGGGAAACGCGGCATGTTTGTTTGCGCCAGAAGAATACAAAGCACTGGAAGTCAGCGAGGGCGGCAACGAGACAGATACGAAGAGGGGAGGGGCAGAGCCAAAGAGAGAGAGAGGAAATGGCACTGTACTGCAAAAGGACGTACACCGGCCGCGCTTCGCTAGCCAGCCAACGAACACAAGGGCTAGCAGCTGTCGCACGTGTGTCAATGCGCTACACCAATTGTTTTGCGTAAGATGCCGCAAAAAAATCAACAAGCACCAGCAACGCTCTTTGCTCTTGCACATGGGAAACACGATCTGCTATTGAGGCTTGCTGTCACAAAGAAGCACGAGAGAGGCCGCCAGACTTTTCGAAGCAACGCATGGCCAGACCAACAACAGAGACGGCAGCAAAAAGATGCGCAGACCGAGTGCTTTCGCGCAGGTGCTGTTGTGAGCCGATACCCTATCCTGGGTTCCACCGCAAGAGGTCTCTGGCAAACAGTTGTGTTTGTGTGCCTGTCCCAGGGATGCTCCGAAGAGCAACAAAGAGACCAAAGCCCCCGAGTTGGTTCACAAAATACATGTGAAAAAAAAAACTCAGGCTTGGCTAACGCGCTGGGGTGTAATTTACGTTAAGGCGTTCCCCCTGAGGAACGCTATCGTACTCACGTTGACGACGGACTTGACGGCCGAAATGTCCGCCTCCCTGCAAATGACCGTGATCTTGTCCTCCTCGATCTTGATCATGCTCTGCACGATCAGAGCCTTGAGGAGCGTGGGGTACTGGCTCCCCTTCGACACCTGGTGCGTGCGGCAATCGTGTGTGGCGTTTCGTAACGCGAGAAAACGGCACGGTGGGTGCCGTAAGATCAGGAAGAACGCGGGTGGTGTAGGTAGTGACGGTGATTCGCAAGACACATTCGGCGAATATCGCCATAAGCTACACCCCCGTTGTAAGGAGCACGACACACCAAAGCATACCAACAAACAGGCTTCCGTCCACACAGGCAGGCCACACCCAAGTACACCAGAAACAACAAAACACAAGGGTTGCGGGCGTACTACACTCGATTTATGCCGAAGTCCTGGCGAAAACTGCGTGACCGCGTGTCTTCTCGGAATGAGGACGGAGTCTTGCATGACAAAGACGTGTGGAGGAAGGTCCGTCCCGCCTTGATTCGTGAGTGCGATAGGCCAGGCAAGACGTGAGCTAGCACGTAGAGGAACTGCAAAGGTCGAGAGCTCGACACATGCATGTATCAAACACGTGTTCGTGTCCCAGTTTCTCGGCGTTAGCACTGCTAATGCTTGAAAAGCCGACTGATGGCAAGACGCCAAACCTTAACCAGCACAGGCACGTGAGCGCTCTTCGTTTCTACTGCGAAAGTGTTCATGTTGCGTGTTAATCCGTGCTGCTGCTGTACCTTCGTGATTTCCTCCGTTGATGCCGCGAGTAATTCCTGAAGCAAGTTGTCCCTAGAGGTCATCTTCTTGACGCGAGAGTTCCCGATCATCGTCGACCGCGAGCTGCATCCACGAGAGACACGACACACATGTCGCGTGGATGTCGATTTTGTGCCGGATAAGAGGGAGAGAGAGAGAGAGAGAGAGAGGGTGACCGCCATAAACAGAGACAGGCAGAGACAGAGAGCAAATAGAGACAGAGATTATTGAGACGGAGACAGAGGCAGACAGAAAAATAGACAAGAGCACAGACAGAACCAAACAGCACGGCCTGTGGCGGCAACAATAGAAAAAATGACAAATACGTCCGTCCGCGCAACCGGCTGACCAAAGAGAGGGCGTCAGTCCAATGGCGGGGCCAAAAACGTGAGCATGCTTTTGCTTTTTCGCAGCCCAGGATATTGAAAGGCAGGGTCCAGTCTCCGGATCCAGAGTACTTACACAAGGAAAAGACGCAAGACAGCTACATAGATAGCAATCTTCTCGCAGTTATCTACTCCTGTGCTATTAGAATTTTTCCCGTGCGGATGATCACTCTCTGGCCGACTTCTGTTCACTCCGTTTGGCTCCATCGCTAGTTCCATCATATGCATCTCTGCGATGCATGCCGAGGCTCTCTCCACTGCCACCCCTGAAGGGTCTATTCCTGCCAGTACATATACGTTTCTTGAGCGTTTCTTTGGAATACCATCGACAGCCCCAGCAAGATGCACAGCGAAAGCATGTAATATCTCCTTGACGCGGGTCGGTGGGGGGGGTGCGCGCGAGCTCTGCTCCCTTGCTCAAGAGAGGGTCGGGGTGCGGGAGAGCGCTGCTGCCAAGGGGCCACAGAAAACGCATCCTGCCGTGGGTGTGTGTGCATACTGTATTCGACAGCTGTTCCCTTCTGACAGACGAAAACTCTACCGCGGGGGCGACGGTAACATGCGCTGTTAACCCCAGGTCTAGACTACTTGTCGAGTTCTTCATGCCTCTCACTGCTGTCCCTCGGTTTCGCTCCCCCATGTCTCTCATCTCGGCCCTCACATTCGGTCCTGGATTTCCCGGTCCTTCTCCTTCTGCGTGTACTCCTCCTGGATCTTGAGCTTCGCGCTGTGGACGATCATCTGCTTCTCGAGGTTGAAGTCGTGCTCCGTCTTGATATTGATCTCGTTCGCCTTCTCGTGGGCCTCCTGAAGGATGAAGTTGGCCATCTGCCGGATCTGGTTCGATGCCCCTTGGTCCATGGTTGCTGCGGGTGTTTGGCTGTGCGAGGTCCTCCTGTTCAGCCGCCGCCCTCTTTCCCTATTCCCTGTCGCCGCTGCTGCTGCTGCTGGCTGCTCTTGTCTTTCAGGCGCTGTCGTGGATTGGGTTTGGCGCGTTGACATGCATGGTGCAGAGCAGCGAAAGGTTACTATAATAGTAGTTGTCAACAACTGAAGGAAGCCGAGGTGGCTCTTTGTTCGCCGTCCGAGACCTTTCATGGGGTAGGGTGGGGTGTTGTCATGGAGTTGCAGACTACGGACGAAAAACGTGCGTATCACATACTGCGTCCCTAGCCCCAAGAGTACGGTGTCACCCACTGCTCGCGCCCCCGCCGCCTGTCTGTGTGTCGTGTGCTGGTCGAGCTGCAGGGTTATACAGCGGTGCGACCGAAGGCATACACTTTGGGGGGGGGGCACGCATAACACTTCGAAGTACTTCCAATCCGTTGGGGAATACGCCTAGACAAGGTATATCAACAGCATGCAGCTGTAGTTTTGCGCCGCCCTCTCCCCACCCCCCATTCCTCCTGGCATTGTACTGGAACCAATATCATGGGCAGGCCGCCGGGTTCTGTTTTTAGAAGGGAGAGAGCAGGGAGAGCTGCTGACTGCTGACGGTGTGCCGACCGCTGTCTTTTCCCCACGGGCAAGAGCTGTTGGGCGGTATTGCAAAGGCCTGGGCAGAAGTAGCCGCAGTCATAATACCAACGTCCAAAGCCCCACGCCTGGCAAGCAAGGCATCAAAAGAGAAGTGGGGAGAGCTCATACTTCCGCCACGGCTGCTGCTGCAGCATCAGGTACTGATCAAAGTGACAGCAGGGGAGACCGTGCACACATTCAGAACTTTCAGGGAAACACGTGGGAAGACACTCAAACTACAACCCGCTGGCTCACGTTCGAAGGAATGAAGCTGGCTGGAAACTAGCTGATCTCTCCACGTTGACGACGAAGTGGCTGGGACACGATAGGCCTCGCACAAGTGGAGAGGTTGTGCGGAATGTTCCCACCGCAACCGCGCAGCGCTCGCCGGGTTCGCCGGGGCTCCGTGACGTAAACGATGCAGCAGGGTTTTATATAAAATTGAGATTAGTGTTTTCTCGGGGAATGAAAAGGAGCTCCGTGGCAGTATCTTTCATCCCGCCGGGTACCCGGGGTGGAAAAGCGGCTACAGACGACGTGACCCAGCACCGACGACTTCACGACTTTACCCACACCACGCTCCACGCTGTGTGTGCGTAATCTGAGAGCGAAGGAGACGGCCGAGGAGGGCGTAGGAAGACGAAGGATTGTGGTTTGCAAGCGGATTTGCTGATCCGGTGAGGATAGCACTAGAGACTTGGTGTGTCAACACGCACAAAATTTGTTGTCGCAGGTTAGACGACCGCCCAGCGCGATCCTTGCAGGCTATGTGGGGTGCCCGAAGTAGCAGGGAAGCAGGGAGGTTGCTGGTGTTTTGTGGGCGGGCACAATTGGCCACAACTACTAGGCTAAATTGGACAGGCAAAGATATGGCAACTTCGATGCGGCAATGCAACCGGTTTTCCAACGTCCTATTGTGACTGACAGCAGTTGCGATGTGGCACGCCCCGCCAACAAATGTCCGGCTCTACTGCCCGCCTCTTTTCAAAATCAGCGAAGAAAAGCGTCCAGTTCCGGCGGTGCAGCGGCCCATCACACTGACTCTCTGATGTACGGCAGGATTTACACGGAAAGCAGCGCGTGTATGCCCATTGTTAAACGATTCGCCTTGCACATCCGTCTTCCTCTGAGTAACGTGCACACGCCTGTAGTACATGACTCTTTTTGTGCTACAAAGCAACGTTCCCACGAGGTACCTCTGTACATGCTGCTTCTTTTTATTTTGTAGTGCTGCTGCACACACGCGATGTTTCGATCTTCAGCAGTACATATATCAAATGAAACTTCTCTAAGGTGTATCTACTTCTCTTGTGTCCATTACTCCAGTACTCCTCTTCGGACTCTCCATGGCGAAGAAACGAGTATCCTCGGTGACAGGCTAAAATAGTGCACAAGATAGAGAAATTATCGCGTGAATTTACGTGCTGACTTCAGTGTCTTGACCCTCCTTCACAGCAGTAGTGCTGTAATTTGGGGACACAGCACGCAAATGCCTGGTTTACCGCGCCGTACTCGTCACGGTGCTCCGCTGCGTGCAACGCGCGTGTGAAACCTTGGTCTACCATGCTTGTGTGAGGTGGTACGCTGTGTGATGTGCTGCTGTGTGATGCCTGTGTGCCCCTCCTCGGCCTCTGACTTGGTGTACGTATCTCCCAAGCCGCGGGTCCCCTTGTCGGTAAAACAGTAACTACTGCTGTAGCTTTTAGTTGCTGAAAAAAATTGCTGACTTGGCTGCAGCATAGAAAGTGTCCCCTGTGAACTGAAAAAAATGCTGACTTGGCTTCAGTATTGAAAGTGTACCTAGTGCATTTGGGGACACGTTCCATACTGAAGCCAAGTCAGCCTTCGTCCCTCGGGACTGTAAAGCCTCGCCCAATGGCGGGCGCGATTTTTCCTGGATCCATAACCTGTAACTAACTGCGTACATTTTCGAAGCACTTGCTCGCCAGGCACCACACCCGTCTATTTAATTCATCACTAAGGGTACATTATGCGGGCATATGTATGAAGACACTGCAGCGGAATGGCGGTAGAACCCCCAGGGTCAACTCTTGGAGGCCGAGCTCAAAGACGATGTGTACACGATTTTGGTATTTTTCAAGTCCAGCAGCAGATGGCAATGGACGTTTATGTGGCTATCCTCGTACCCCTTTGCGAAGCCGGCGGGGAGAGTGCCCGTCGTTTGGGGCTCCATGTATCCACAGGCCTGGCCAGCTCCTCCCTCCGCCAAACCGCGAGGGTGCGTGTGTCTGAGAGAGAGAACCTTCGGAGAAAATGTAGCGGAACGTGCCACAGCGAGGCGAAAGCATGCTCGATCCATGACAGACGATGTCTCCACGTACCCCTGCTGGGTCGGGGGAGCTCGTCTCCGTCCGTATATGCGCCAACCAGGTCGCCGCCCTTGCGCACCCAAGCATTTAAACGATGCGGGGGTGTTGTCGGGCAGTACGCACGACCCCGATTGTACAATTTAGCAACGTAGACTTGGCAGCACCTTCGATCAAGATAAGGGATGTGGGTAGGGCTTTTGTGCTTTGCGGAAAGAAGATGAGACGCGTTTGTGATTTGTGATCAGTTAGATAGCTGCGTACGCCGGCGATGAAGGAAACAAGGGAAGACAGCCAGTAGTGAGGCAACGGCGTGGGCCACGCCTCGGCACCAAAACATGATCGTGGGAGAGTTAGGCATTCTTAGAACATGCGTGAGCAAACAGTTGTAGAACCTTCCGGCAGAAGCAGTAGCAGTGGGTGGCTCCTACGGGGTGCTGGCAGCGTGAGACGGGCTGGAGCAGCGGCATGCCCAGGGGAGGGGCTCGACCTTGCGCGCCCCTACCACACGTGGCCTGTGCCAGTACTCTCCGGCTGTTGCGGAACCGTGCTTGATATTTTTTGTCCGAAATTCCGATTCGACTGGGCGACAAAAGCTCAGTTTTTCGTTCTGCTGTATAAATCGGAAAGTAACCGGTTGTTCCTCTTGTCCTCTTTTTGGCGTCCCCTCCCCCTCCCCCAGCAAGCCGGAGAGAACCAGCGGCACGAGGACGAGCACCAGAGGAATTCGGAGCGAACGGAAAATCAGAACAAGGACAAGGAAAATAAAATGAGCTCCTCCTCGGATGAAGACTTCCGGTCCTACCACAGGCCCTATCCCCTGCACGATGCCGCGGAGGCGGGGGACATGGAAACCCTCACTCAGATCCTGAGGCCGAGGCAGCCCAAGAAACCTGCCAGCATAAGCTCGGCAGCGGGAGGGGGGGAAGGAGAGGCCGCGGCCGGAGGGGACGGGCGGGGGGGCGTTGCTCCTATGGACGAGGAAGGGGACGCTGCGGCGGCCGCGGGAACAGGGGGTGGTGAGGCCGACGGCGGTGCTGGAAAGGCAAGGGTGTCATCAAATTGGCGTGGAGGGAGGAGGGGGGGGGTAGTCATGTTTTGCATGCCTCAGGTGTTGGACCCTTGACCGTGGGGATAAAGAGGAGAGAGATTTGTTTCCGCGTAGGGCGAGAGGCGCATGTGCCCGTACGGGATTACACCGCATCTCGGGGCGTCCTAACAACTGCTTTGTTGTGTCAAGTACAATAGGCAGTATCGATCGATACCAGGACAAGAAGCGGTCAACAACTTAAGAGCGCAATAAATAGGCCACGCGTACATTGATGGTACAATTGCACTTGACAACGCACTCCACAAGGCGAAACGCGCAATTCAACAACAACAGCAGTTACAACCACACGAACTTCAACAGGCTGAAGCAGAAGGCATCGAAAACAACAGCCATCGGCATCCGGCGGGAGGGGGCGATGATGAGTCTAGCGACGACGACGACGACGACGACGAGCTCGGCGGTTTCAGGCCTCCGTCGGTGGACTTGGAGGAGAGGGACCACGAGGGCTGCACCCCGCTGCACGTGGCCCTGACGGCGAAGAACCTGGACGCCGCGCGGCTGCTGCTGGAGTGCGGCGCGGGCACGACGAGGAGGCTGGAGGGGTCGACGCCGGCGCACGTCGCCCTCAGCGTGGCGTCGGTGGGAAGGCACCGCGGGTTCGCCAACGCGTGAGTGGTGGTAGTGTGCGGTTGTTGCCACGAGTGGCCGCGTCCCCGGAAGGCCGTCGACAGACCCTTGGTTCCCAGAATCGCGGGGGGCACTTATGCGTAGCCCGTGACCTATGAGGGGGTTAGGGAGAGTTGTGGGTTTCAGGTGGAGGTGCTTGTACGACCTGTACTGTCGTGGAGTAGACGCGACAAGGGAGTGGAGGTAGTAGTAGTGGCGGCTTGGGGGGGGTATTCTAGCAAATGCGGTTTCCGCACCCACAGCATGCCACGAAAACGAGACGATAGATGTTGTTGCGCCAGCCTCTAGCCGTGTGGATGTCTCTGCCCTTTTATGCGACCCATGGAGAGAGAGAAGGAGTAGTATATAGCACCCGCCGTTTACAGCAGTGCCCTTTTCGATCAAGCGCAGGAGGATCACACCCAGGCAAGCAGCGGCCCCCTCCTGCCCGTGTGGTATACGCCTGTCTGCCGTCACTACTTGTACTGCCTCCGCTTATCAACTGACACAACGGCTCTCCGCAGCCCCCTCTACAGTATACCCACCGCCACCCGCAACGAGTGACGAAACAGTACGCAGGAGCGACTCACTCGAGTTACGTGTAAAATATTCCTAACCGACGCCCGTGAATTGTCGCAGCGCGCTCAAGCTGCTGCTGGAGTACCACCACGACGTGTCTGTCAAGGACGACAGGGGTCAGACCCTGCTCCACCTGGCGGCGTCGTTCGGCCTGGACGATGCCATGGCGACCCTGCTGGAGGCCCCGAGGGGCAGGGAGCTCATGGACTCCAAGGAGCGTCTCAGCTGCCGGTGTGTAAGGGACTTGTGTACTCGTGTGAACGCCATGCCTCAGGCGGTATCCCTGCAATGTCGGCCCAGGCTACGGATTTCACGAAGATGAACCAGAACCTCGCCGTCGTCCTTGTGTTTTTTCTGTCGGTATGTAGTACACGGGTGGTGCTTCTTTTTTGTTTTTGCGCTGCAGCTGCCGCTTGCTTTCCTCGTTGTTCCGTTGTGCTCGTTTCTTTTTTGTTTTTGGTCATGAGATTTTTGTTCTGAAGGTCGGTCTGTTGCACCTTTCGGTACAGCAGGTGGTACGTGCGTTCGGGTTTTGGCGTTTGCCGTGGGTGTTGGTGTTGGTCGTGCCTGCCTTCGTTCCCAGGCAGTTTGTACCGCCTTGCTCGCCTTCCTGCCTTTCCCACCGGCCAAGAAGAAAAAGAAATGAAATGACTTTTTCTCAAAAGGGCAGGGGGTTTTCAGACTCACGGGATTCTTCGACAATATTTTCCCGGGACAGTTGGGACCACTTCCTCCCTCTAACAACCCTATCCCCGCCCTCCACACGCCTCGCATTCGTTCCATTTTCTGCAGCACAGATGCCAAGGTCTAAAAGACTGCGTTATGCTACACATTCACACGCGCGGGGCCGTGTATAATTGATGACAAAGAGGTACCACTAGACCCGCATCACTTTTGACGTGCTGCTGCACCTAACGGCGTCGAACGGGTGTGAGGTTCTGTCGCCGCCCCCAAGTGTTTCAGCGCGTTCTTGGCGATGTATAACCTCCCCCCGCCCCGCTCCCGCCTTCCCCCCCCCCGCTGGTGCCAACAGGCCTTTGCACCTCGCGGCGCTCGCGGGGCACGTAGGGGCTACCCGTGCGCTTATCTCGGCGGGCTGCGACGCCTCCTTCACGAACCTGCACGGCAACACGGCGCTCCACCTGGCCTGCAGCAAAGCTCGCTGGGGGGTTGCTAGGTTCGTCGTTGTGGGTCGTTGACGTTTGGCAGGTGGTGGTAGTGATAGTTGTTGGTTTCATCGCTGACGGCGGCGGCGGCGGTGGTGGTGGTAGTAGTACCGTTGATGGGGTTGGCGTCTTTGTTGGGGGGGGATTGGTTAAATCTCCGGAGGCTTGGAAGGCGGGCGTTCTTGTTGAAGACTTGACGCGCCTTTTGTTGCGGTCTTCCAGCAACAGCCGCGGTCGTGCTTGGCTCTCTCGTTTCAGCGCTTCAGATTTTGATGTCCCTCCTCATCCTGCTTGTTCTGCTGCTTGCTGCTGCTGCCGCTTGCTGCTGCTGCTCCGCCACGCGTGATGGAAAAATCGGGCACCTCGAAATCCACCCCATCTATCTACCATCGATCGATGTATTCAAGGGTGCTCCTGGAGGACGGGAAGGCGAGCGTGGTAGCGTGCAACAAGAACAAGCAGACGCCCGCCGCGGTGGCGTTGAAACAGGTGAGACGACCGGCCTAGCGTGTGGCAAGCCCTACGGCGTGTGGTAGTCTCTGTCTGGCTTTTGTGTGCCTACTGTACGGTGGCAAATGTGGTCGTCTCTTTTTTGTATGTTGGCAATTTTGTTCTGTGGCTGTCGTTTCCTGGTATTGTGGCGGGGGTAGGCGGGGAGGGTGCCGTCTTTGTTATGGCGCCGTTGCGGTTGTTGCTGTTTTCTTTGGTGATACTGTACTTGCTGTTCGAGCGACACGTGTCCACTGTGGTGTTGTTGTTGTTGTTGTCTTCACACATGAAATGTTTGTGCTGACCACTGCCCCGATTGCAACAATGCCATGCTTTGCGAAAAAATGTGTTCCCTCCGTCGACTCAGGGGCTAAGAATCCCGGACACACTTCCGGAGCTTCACGAAGCGGCAGCAACAGCAACAGCAACAATCGGTAACGACGACAGCACCAACGGCACTACTGCCAACCCAGAACAAGAGCGGGGCTCCTCCTCCTCCTCCTCCTCTTCCAACAGGGGCAAGGTCAAGAAGAAGGCCAAGTGGGAGTTCCCGGTGGCGGGAGGGTCGGGGAGAGGGGATGACACTGCCGCCGCCGCCGCCGCCGCCGGGAATGCCGTCGGTAACGGAGGCATTCGGCAGGCGGGAGCGGGAGCGGGGGACGGGGACGTTGCGGGTAACGGCGGCGTGGGAGCGGCAGCAGGTGGTGGTGGTGGTGGTGGTGGTGGTGGTGGTGCAGCAGGAGCACCCAAGACGAGGACGGCGGTGTTGCACCACCCCCTGTGCCTGCAGCACCACTCGTGCCCGCCGATAAGGAGGTGGGGGGCGGACCCCCCGCCGGAGAATGTGAAACGCCTGGAGGTCATCTACAACGAGGTACAGTATGCATGTTGGTATTTTGTATTTTGCTGTGCTGTGCAGGGGGGGGGGGAGTCGTTGACCGTGTACGCTGCGGCCGTGCGTTCCACATGTGAGGGGTGGTGTTGTGACCGCAGCATGCCGTGCGGACGCGGAATGTCGCTTCTACCCATCGGACCATCCACAGGTGTGCCACACCTACCGAGTCCACCAAAATCGCGATACACACGTGCCGCCATTTTCGCTCCGTCTGTGGCGTTTTTCAGTTTCTTTTTCCTATTTTGGCGTACGTACTGCAGTTCATGCTCAGTTGCGAGCTAGGACTGGTTGAGTGAGTCGGTCAGTGCTGATGGCGTTTCCGCCTTCCTCTTGGGGTGGTTGTGACGTTGGTCTTTGGCGTGTCCACGGCCACCGCGTCAACCACCGCCTCTCTTGCCTTGTGCGCGGCGGCGGCGGCGGCGGCGGCAGGATTCGGGGGTGCTGCGCGCTGATGAATTTTCTGGGTTGGAGTGGGACAGCAACCCCAGCAGGGCAGAGCTGGTGGACGTGCTGCGGGTGCACGACTTCAACTACGTCGAGAAGCTGGGTGAGTGATCTTTTTGTGGGTGGGTGTGTGAGTGTCGTTGTATGGTGTCGTCGTGTTGTGTAGCGTCGGCCGCGATAACCCGGCTGGCCAATGCAAAACACGCCAGTCTTACAGGGAGATCAATAACGCGATCGGTAGCGAAAAGGAAAAATTGCTTCGTGGATCTTTTGTTTGATCTTATCTTGTTCTTTGGTTGTGCTGCTCGTGTTGATTTTTTTGTTAAGAGTGAGTATCGACGGCGCCGTAGGTAAGTTGGGCCTGGCGGCAGTGAGGCATGTTTTTTTGCGTTTGTTTTCCCTTTGTTGATGCTGACGTGTCTCCCCCTCCGTGACCCTTGGTGAGCCATCGACACCACTTGCAAGGAAGCTTCGACAATTGTTCCCCTGTCCCTGTTTTATGTGTTCTGTTACTGGGTGCCGTGGGAGAAAAAAACGGTGGTCCGTGTCATAGAGGAAGATATGCATGGTCAATGGCCACAACGACTAAATATCAATACCGCAAATCAAGCGACAACCATTGAGTACTGACCCCCCCTCCCACGCATTGGTGTGTAGGAGCATGTTCGTGTTCCTCTCTCGCTCTGCTCACAACTTTCAAATGGGGGAAAACGACACAACAGGGTATACCCTGGTCGAAAAGCGACACACCTGGGTACACAGTCATTAACAGCAGTAAATGCATTCATATGATTGGTCAGCGCCCAATTTCACCCCGGTACGTCCGAAAAGGAGCAGGGTATACCCTGCTGTGTCTACTTTTCTCACCAACTGTACCCTGTTTTCGGAAGTGTACCCTGACCTGACGGGAAATAAGACCCATTCATCAATCATTTCCCCCGCAGGAATCTTCCCAACTCCTTTTCCTCTCCAACCATGGGGTACCAAACGGCGAATCTTCCCACCCAATAACAACCATGGCAACGCGGCAGGAATCAGTTTCCGCCCCTGCCAAACAACACCAACCATTATTACCTCTTCCGCTCTAAATCAACAATGGCCGGGCACTACCCCAGCACAGCAGTTGTTCCGTTTGGAAACATGCACACGCGCACAATACCCCGTGCACCACTGCTTGCTGCAGTCTAATATATCTATATGCGACATGCACGGGTCACGCTACGAAAGCGAGACCGATCCAGCATGGTTGACATGCACATATATATATTTATGCATGTATGTCCACAGCACTACACGGGTAACGTTGGGCGCCGCCACTCCCTCCTGCCTGTGCCGTGTGTGCGTGGGTGTGTTGTCTGTTGTGTCTCAATTGCGATGTGTTTCTTGCTTGAACTACTACTACTGCTGTAACAACAGCAGCGGTCGCGCTTACCAGCCGACCAAGCCGACCAACCAATCAATGTATGTAGTAACAAGACGTCAGGCTTCAGCGGGATGAGCCGATGAAATACACCGCGAGCACAGGGAGGGTGATTGAGTTGGACGACACAGTCCTGCTGCCAGAGTTGTTAGCACTCGCTCCTCCTTCCATGATTGATGTCAAGGGCGTGTCTGTGTGTGGTGTTGCTGCCTCTCTCCTCCGCCCGCTCAGCGCAGCGCCACACATCATGGGCACATACATGCATATATATGCATGTCAACCATGCTGGATTGGTCTCGCTTTCGTAGCGTGACCCGTGCATGTCGCATATAGATATATTAGACTGCAGCAAGCAGTGGTGCACGGGGTATTGTACACGTACGTGTGTGCATGTTGCCAAACGGAACAACTGCTGTGCTGGGGTAGTGCCCGCCCATTGTTGATTTAGAGCGGAAGAGGTAATAATGGTTGGTGTTGTTTGGCAGGGGCGGAAACTGATTCCTGCCGCGTTGCCATGGTTGTTGTTGGGTGGGAAGATTCGCCGTTTGGTACCCCATGGTTGGAGAGGAAAAGGAGTTGGGAAGATTCCTGCGGGGGAAATGATTGATGAATGGGTCTTATTTCCCGTCAGGTCAGGGTACACTTCCGAAAACAGGGTACAGTTGGTGAGAAAAGTAGACACAGCAGGGTATACCCTGCGCCTTTTCGGACGTACCGGGGTGAAATTGGGCGCTGACCAATCATATGAATGCATTTTCTGCTGTTAATGACTGTGTACCCAGGTGTGTCGCTTTTCGACCAGGGTATCCCCTGCTGTGTCGTTTTCCCTTCAAATGGCCACCCCTGTCCTCTCGAGGGCGCGTGGTCAATCGTCTAAACCGCATGCAATACATGAGTAGTGGTGCAACGACTACGGCATGCGCGACTACGAGTACCCCCCCCCCCCCCCCCCGGTGTTCGCCGTCGGGGTTGGGTTGTCGTCGCTTGGGAGCGACGTTGTAAAACAAGCCGCCCCCCCTGGTGTTTGCCATCGGGATTGGGTTTTCGTCCGCTTGGCAACGACGTTGTAAAAGAAGCCAATTCACTTCGTGAACTCGGCAACCAGGTTACCGTTTTTGTTTTACCTCTGATTTTTTTTTAGGCGTGAACGGAAAAGAGGGAC